ATACTAAAATGGATGGTGAAATTCTTAGCAACTTGTTAACCTCTGAGTAACACTATATTCCAAACTAGACAGTAATTAATAAATAGCAAGCCCATATGCCACTAGAGAGCTTCATCAGGTAGAAAGATGAAGACAAAAGCACACCTTGACATAGATCATCTCTACGATCTAAATCCGCAAATTAGAGACTGGAAAGCTATATATTGGAGATAGAGTAGGATGGGGTAAAAGGGAAAGAAAAACAATGGTAATCCTGTATGATATAGCATTACATTCCATCTACCCACCTAAGTATTCCAGCGCTGAGCACTCAGCAAATAAAAAAAGGATTAGTGCATTTTCCTACCTTTAGCATTTATGTCACCAGTCTTGACTTGCCAAGTTATTTTATATATATATACCTTACCATCTTTTTCAAAAATGTTTTCTTCCAGCATCGTGATTGAGTGGGAAAAGTACTCAGTGGCAGTCCAGAGACCTGGGGTCTAATCATAGCTCTATCTCAAACTCATTGTGTGACAGTTGAGAAGACTGCTGAACCTGAGTAAATATAGTCAAACCTAATCAATTTATCTTCCCTTAATGTAAAATGTGTGGCAATTTGGACAAGAGATAGGCTCAAATTTATCTAAGCACTAATTCTGAAAAAATAAAAATAAATAAATGCTATTGAAAGAAAAATATTTACTACCATCTTGCCAGAATTCTTAAGGGAATAAATATCTTTTGGATCAGATCAAGCACGTTTCAATAAATTATTTTCCGGTCCTTTTTAGATGCAAACATTTGCAGTGCTGATGCTAATCACAATTCAAGCTCAACAAGTCCTAAAGAACCTCTAAAATGCTTTGAGAGCCTAATTAAAGTCACATCCATAATTTGAAGTTATATGACTATATTTCATCAGAAATATTATATAAATGAGACTGGCTTTCTGATTAATGAAGTTTAACTTTAAATCCAAACTAGAAATAATATCCATCCCTATACTTTTCCATTTCAATACCATAGGAGGATTCAAGTTTCTTCCATAGTCATAGGTTTCACTTCTCAAATCACTAGTCTCGGTAAACTTATTTATATGACCTTCATTACATAGTTGTGAAACTGAAGCAGAGATACTAAGCTATTCATGGTCACACAAAAATTAAAGGACAGAGCTTGAAATAGCGCCCAAGTTTCCATCTTTTTCATTCAGATGTATAACCATTAAGGAGTTTCCCCAACTCATGACAGCTACTAAAAGTACAATGGAACCCTTTACAGTAATATTGGGAACCACAGTCAACTTTTGGCTTGCTACCTGGACATGTTGTAACCAGCTTTTATTGTAAGTATCCACAATACTCTATGGGAGATGATTTGACTTCAAAATGCATATATATTCAAATGCATGCAAGATCACATCCCAGTGCATGAAAATGTTGATTAGTCTTGTTACTGAAGGGTTCCAATGTATCAATACAAAACCTATACATAGTCTATGAAGGCCCATAGACCTAATATTCTCATAAAATCATTCCTAATGGTGACAGAAATTCATATAAAATCTCTGCAAATAGCAGGCAAATCAAAGTACTTTTCCCAGGCCTTCTTCATAGCAATATTTTAAGAAAATCCTGTGTCAGCACTTTTTGGAAAGGTCACACTATTTAGAATGCTTCTATGATATTATGGTGAGGAAGGTAAGGACAATGGTTTAGTAATTTACTGTCTGAGAGGGTCATGGCAATGCATCAAAAGAGGTAAGGAGAAGGAGAAATATGCAATGAAAAGAGAGAATGAAAGGAGAGACAGGCAGAAACAATTCACTCATTGTTGTCATCCTTCTGACTTGACTTCAAAAGGTGATCATGCTCATTAAGTCAGAGCAGGTCACTTAAGTCGAAATCAGGCAATCATGATAAATGCAGGAGAAACTACATCCAGAATTAAAGACAAAAAACTTACCACCTAGAAGGAAAATTCATAAAAATCAAAAGAGATGGATCCAGAGAAGAACAAGAAAAATACATTTCATTATGGTTAGTTGTTATAACATCTATGGTATGCTCTAAACTCTAAGAAGCATGCACAGTATTAACTGTTTTAACCAAATTTCAAAACAAAGAATCCTCTAAGTATTACTAACCATTTTCTTTTAAATTGCTAAGTCTTGGGAGAAAGGGAGGGAGAGCAGAATTTAGAAGTCAAAACTTTAAAAAAAAAGAATGTTGAAAATTGTTTTTACATGTAATTGGGAGAAAATAAAATATATATATTTTTTTAAATTGCTAAGTCTATGGTGAGACAAAAAAATTTATAAGGTGATCCCAGAGATTACAATTTGGAAAGTTTAATTGCCTTGAACCCTTTCTCTCCTAAACCAGTAATTTTAGTCTTCTGGGTATTTGTTTACTAGCAGTTAACCACAAGAAAAGCTCCAATTTGTTTCAGCAGTCCCTTCCAAATCATTTTAACTTAGTTCCACAAAAGCAGCAACATAGTCCATGTGCCTGGAACACCCAGAAATCAGAAAAAAATATCTCTAAAATAATAAAAAGTAGACAAAAAAACTTATGTCTTAGCCAGCCTAGGGTTCTGATCACAGTTTCTTGGGGCAGATTTTGAGAAAGTGATCACATTCTCAATATTACAGCCCTCAAACGGTTAGAAATGTAATCCATCAATTTTCCTACTTACCCTTAATAACATATCACAGACCTATCATCCATCCATGACTCCCTTCTAAAAATTTATATTGCCAGTCTGAGCCACCCCAGATTTAAAAACATTCTCAACATTTACGAACGGCTCTGCAGCGGAGAGCTCCCTCTAGTGACCAATCATAACTCCCTCTCCCAATATCCCCACCATTCACATCTCTGGATATGAGGGGAGAGGAAGGGGGGTTGTTTGTCTGTTTCTCTTCTTCTCCTCTTAATAATCTGTGTGATCCTTCTCTGGATCCTATAGCTCTGTTACACCTTAAGAGGCAGCACCCTGTTTTATACAATCAAAGGAACATTAATTTGTCTTGGGTGCCCAGCAATTTGTTGGTCTTCTGGGTCACCATAGCACATGAAAACTACTGGATCAGATTAACTAACGAGTACTATACTAATTCTAATTATTCTCAACTACAGGTCAAATTCCAAATTCCAGAATAACAAACACTAAGGGAGGGAACCAATTCTTTAATCACTGGGATTACCTCTGTTACATTAAATACTGCCTAAAATAAATATGCATGTAAAAATAAGTAAAAATCATCTTGCACACATATACATATGTGTGCATACACATTTTGTATAGTTTACATGCAGTGTGTATGTGAACTTCACTAAGACTTTTGGGACACCCTGTATACATACATGTGTGTGACATGTATGTGTGTGTATCTATATGTATGTGTGTGTGTATATATATATACACACACATACATACATATATATATATACACACACACACATACACACACGTAGTAGGCCAAAAGTCTTAGCGCAGTTTAAATCTATTAAAGCATTAGGTAATGCATACATATATACACACAGGTATAGGGACACCCTATTCCTATATGTGTATGTTTATATATATACACATATAAAATGTCTGTGTATTATATATATAGAGTGTATATCTATATATTAAGCAGTTAATATGTATACTCTACATACATAGTATAATTCATCTTACGTATACACACACATGTATATATATACATGGTCCCCTTTCACATATTATATAATTTATTAGAGTCGGTTCAAATATTTCTCCATTCTATTTTACAAAGCTTCTCTAATTCTGAATTCAATATCTGCGTCATCTAACAAGAGTTATCTGAAATCTAACCAGTGTAAGCCAGTTAAGAAAGTAAAAAAAGCAAAGCAGGAAGAAATTCATAGATCTTCTCACCTCAGCTAATACAAATCATTCATTTGAAAGTAAAGATTTAATAATGATAAAGTCAATATTCTCAGATTTAACTGTCCATTTCCATCCCAGTAAGAAATGGCTAAGGAAAAAAATTCTCAGGTTCTGCCATCTAGTGGAGAAAAATGATATTTTATATTTCTTATGAATTTGATGAATTTTATATTAAAATTTTCTATTCAGTTGTGTAAAGTTTTTGGAGGGGTTAGGGGTGGTTGGGGGCATGAAGTAGTGGATAGAAGACTGGCCTTAGGGCCAAGAAGAATTCCACTTCTAACACACAGACTCCTTTCCTCACCAAGGGCAAGTCACTCCAAGTGGCCCAGTGCAACTCTTAAAACGAGTAAATATAGCTAAGCACTTCAGGAGTCCTCTCTCCCCCTTACCAAAAACAATGAAATCACAGTCATGGACAAATTATGATAAAAATTAATAATAACAAAAACAAAAACAACTGCATTATTCTCCCTCCTTCCAGTTCTGGTATATAAAGTAAAATGTCACAAGCTTATTTCTAAGGCTCTGTATTCACTGAGCTAATTGGCATGAAATAATGATCTCACTATAGCTTACTCCTAAATATAAGCTGTACTCTAAAAGGGAAAACTATATATTGGTATAAACCAAAAATAACTATGCAAAATTACAATATCAAAAGATTATATTTATAATTAGTTCTGTTGACTTCCCCCAATTCAAACAGAAGTATTAAATATTCATATTTCATTGTCACTGAACATATTAGATATCACACTCAGATTTATACAAGTCAGTCACACCAATATCATGCTTTTCCTTTATAACAAAGTAGCAATGTCAAACTTTCCCCTTTGGAGGAAAAGTACTTATAAACATACCTTTTCTTATGGCACTTATATAGACACTTCTCTCTCACACACACACACACACACACACACACACACACACACACACGCACACGCACACGCGCGCGTGCAACAGGAGCCCATACTGGCAGACTTAAAACAACATGCCTACTCCAGTCATCCTTACCCCATTTCACCCCACATTCAAGTTAACAAAACGACATGTCTCTAATAGAAAACAAAACCTCACAACCCTGTACTTACGTGGCCATGCAGATCGGTGTTGAGGAGCATGATGGCACAGGTGAGGCAATGGACTCCATCTGAGGAAAGAGACAGGAATACAAATGATCAACCCCGACAGACTATGGTGACTCTTGCCCCTGACAGAGGTGCTTATCCACCAGCATGACAACTTCCTGGCCAAGCAAGTTATTGAGCAAGGAATAACGCCATTCATCTTTTTAGATGGGTTAGATAATGTGAAGTCACTAAAACATCCTCACATCTAAGAAATAGCAAAGATTGCAATGAATCTAAGACCATTTCTTTCACTGGGTACTCTTTTTCCCTCAATTCTTTCCATTTTATTGACATAGGGAAAAAACAAAAATTGAACGACAGTAAATGTCACTAAAGAAAACCAAGACTTTAATGCCTTTCACTTTTAAGTCTACTAAACCAGTTGTCCAGTTAAAGTGACAGAGATGAAAAATTTTCTCTTAATATGGACTGAAAGAACACATCCAGTTTTCAAACCTGTGGGTATCTTCTAAGATTTGCCAAATTTGAAGAAAAAAAAATAAACAAAAATTTAAACTTGGAAATTAAAAGTCAAATTTCCTTGATTTCCATTATGCTATTTCTGTGACAATTTGATTACTGCCTCTTTTTTTCCTAGGTGGGGCAGGGGGTAGGAAGGGGTAAGGTTAGGGAAACAGAGTTATGATTTCACTGACAGAGAGAATTCCAAGTGAAGAAACTCCCTCTAATAAGGTAAATCAATACCTCTTCTGAAACTAATAGTTTTAAGAAAGTTTCCTGGAGCAGGTGAGAGGGTAACGGACTTTCCCAGAGTCACATAGCCAGTATGTGTCAGAGGCAGGATAAACTCCTATCTCCCTGACTCCCAGGCCAGCTTTCTATCCACCCTGCCATGATACTTCTTTAGTTTCTTCCTAGGAAGAAAATGAAAGGAAATAGACAAAGCTCTTCAGTCCCATGGGGGTAGTTTAATACTCTCTCCTTCTGCCAATCACTCAGCTAAGTTCAGGATGTAAGTCTAGTACCAAGGAAAGTAAAGTATCTCTTTAATTCAGATTACATGGTGGAAAGGCCAGTCTGAATCAAATAATAGAGAAAATAAAAGTGATTAAAAATTAACTCTCAGCAATTCTGGGCTACAGAGACTGGGGTGAAAATAGATTGCTAAAAACCCATCGATTTCATCTATTTATTTCTCTATCAAATTCTTTTAGAGTGCCACTAATAAAATAACAGTATTAGTATCCTGTCCTATTTCATTCCCCATTCTATAATGGGGATGCAGAGAAGTAAGCCCAAAGATGGCCAAAGGAGAAAAAAAAAAAACAAGGAGAAAAAGAAAAAGAAAAAAAGAAAAAAACAATTTTTTCAGAAAAAATGGAAAAATCAGCCTCCAAATGAAATAGCTAAGGCCTTTAGTTTTTATTTAATATTAAATCACACTTATCCTAGTTAAAAGATACTTACTAGCCTTCTGTACTAATTAAAAAGGGGAAAAAAACCTATTTGACTCATTGTTAATTAGTCCAGAAATTATTCATTGTAAACAAAATTCCCTAAACTCAAGCCAAGGGGATATTGACTTTACTTCTTAAAAATTATGCTTTCTGGGGGGCAGCTAGGTGGAGCAGTGGAAAGAGTACCGGCCCTGAAGTCAGGAGTACCTGAGTTCAAATTCGGCCTCAGACCAAACACTTGACACTTACTAGCTGTGTGACCCTGGGCAAGTCACTTAACCCCAATTGCCTTAAAAAAAAATTATGCTTTCTGGTGGGAACTGAACTAAGATATCAGAAAAGAACTGTCTTCATAGGATGGGTCAACATGTCACTGTGAGGCAGCTGAAATCTAGCAAGTGGAAGTGATGACAAATGACTTACCCTCCCAGATTACTTTCATCTATTCCATATCTATCTTGTCTGTATACACTGTCTACTCCATTAGAATGTACACTCCATTAGGGAAAGGGCTATTTACAGCTTACCCAACTCTACTTAACAAACACTTGTTGACTGACAGTCCTATTTAGACATCTTCAAGGCTAAGTCTAGACTACTGTAAAGGAAAGTAATTCATTCCTCACTGGCTTCCCCCTGGACTTCAGTTCTCCTTGAAACTCCGTTTTAAGTAAAGGACTCAAGTCAACCATGTTCCCACCTCACTTTTTTCCCATCTCTCCCTCCAAAACTCCTGGGTTTTCATCTTCTTTTTATGGGAAGTCTTCCCCCATCAGAAAATGAACTCCTGAAGGGCAGGAACTATCTCTTTCTTTTTGCTTGTATTTGTATTCCCAGCATTTGGCACAGTGCCTGGTAAACAGTAAGTGCTTCATAAATGCATGTTGACTCAACTTGACTAAAAGTTCAGAAATGTACAAACAGATACACTGAGCAAAATTACCTGATGAAAAAATGGTATCTGGATTACAATGAAAGTATCTGTTGGAAAAGTGGACTAAAACTCTCTCTCGTTCTTGGGTTTCCCCCATCAGGGAAAATGCCTTAAAGAAACACCTAAAGGAAGTTTTGAGAAAAGAAAAAATTAAAATAACACATCTTTCTCATAGGTTTTACAACTAACATTGTTTTAACAGAGATGGGGAACGAATCACAGTTATTCAAAAGGAAAGTAACAATAACAATGATAATAACAACAGCATGCCATATAGTGCTTTAAGGTTTGCAAAGAACAAACATATTATATATCACATTTTACATATTACTTCATACGATCCTCACAACAACCCTGAGAGGTAGGTGTTATTATTATCCCCATTTTATACATGAGGAAACTGAGGTTAAATGAACTGCCCAGGGTCAAATAACTTTGCTGTCATTTGGCCAATTCAGTCGTGTTTGACTCTTCATGACCCCATTTAGGGTTTTCTTGGCAAAGATACTAGAGTGATTTGCCATTTCCTTCTCCAGCTCATTTTACAGATGAGGAAACTGAGGAAAACAGGGAAAACTCGCCCAGTATCACACAGCTAATACCTGTCTGAGGTCAGATTTGAACTCTTCCTTACTCTAGGCCCAAAACTCTATCCATTGCACCATCCAGCTGCCCCCAGAACTGCACTGACCAGGAATTGAATCCAAGCTTCCCTCGTGGAAGGCAAGAATTCCACCACTTAATCACCAATGCCATTACACAGCTAGTAAGTAGCTATGGAGGATTTGAATTCATGTCTTCCTGATTACAATTCCAGCACTCTATCCACTATACACCATAACTAGCAACTTACTTAATGGATATTTGAGTTATGTGAGCATATCTGAAAACTGGGCAGCTAGGTTGCACAGTAGATGGAACACTGAGCTTGGAATCAGGACGATTCATCCTCCTCAGTTCAAATCTGGTCTCAGTCATTGACTAGCTGTGTGACCCTAGGCAAGTCATTTAACCCTGTTTGCCTTAGTTTCCCCATCTGTAAAATAAGCTGAAGAACAAATCGCAAACCACTCCAATATCTTTGCCAAGAAAACCCCAAAATGGGGTCAAAGAGTCAGACATGACGGAACAGCAGCAATAATCATGAAAATTAGAAAGTGACAGTGTGACAGTTTCAAATCCACAAATGGAGATGAAAACAGAAAAACTCTGTTGAAAATGCTTAATTTGTTACAATGATAACTGGGGGATGGGAGTGGGGAATCCACATGTATTAGACTGAATAACAATAAATAAAATAACAAATGCATACTTAAAGGCTGAGACAACAACAAACATGGTGGTTAAAAATCAAGACGTCCCTGTAATCCTTTGTCATTTATTTACTATTGTCCTTTTTACTTACTTTTTTTACTACTGTTGTCCTTTCCTTGCCTTAAAAAAAGTGTCATACTGAGAAAAGTTCTTTCCTCCTAATTTTTTTTTCTACTTATTTTCACTATACCTTAATCATCACTAAAACCATACAACCTGCAGACAGGCTTCTAAAGTCCTAACCTGGTCTCAACCCAATCTTTCCAGCCTTACTGTGCACTATACATCTCCAAATCCAAGCTTTCTCTGTTCCTCACACATGCCCCTCCTCTTCCTTCACAAGACCACACACTTGGGGTCCCCCCTGTCTGGAAGGCATTTCCTCCTCAGGGAATCCATCTGTTCCTTCAACGTACAGCTAAAGCACAGCCAACTACATTTGGCCTTTCATGTCTTAATGTCCTCCTTCCCAAATTTCCTTGTATTTACCTATTTCATATTTATTCTTTTTATATTTCTTTTCAATCTACTTATGTCTACAAGGTCTCTCCAGTAAAATGTAAGCTACTTACATTCTAATGTATTCAGAAGTAGTGATTAGATATAGAGTAGGGATTATTTTGAATACTGGATTTGTAACCCCAGCACACAGCACAGTGTCTGAACAGACAGTTAATAATTAGGCATTGACTGTAAACATCTGTCTCTTTGTCTTTTAATGGAACATAATTTCAAACTTCCTTGAACATTTCCTAAGAGTGATTGATTCACAAAGTCAAACCCATACCAATGCCACTGGCAAAGACTTCTAAATTCAACAGGACAGCAGACAGGCTGTCTGCTTCATATATCACACACAGGTGTGGATGTGACCCTGAAAATGTGTGTGTGAGGGAAGCTTGATACTTCAAGGTATATTATGGTTAATTCTTTTGTAAATGTTCACCTCCTTTCTTCCTTCTAAATCAGTTATTATTACATGAATCATGATTTTTGCCTAAAGGGGTCTCAGAAATCTTGAACCTCCCAATATCACTACCAAAATAAAAAGGCCCATCTTCCTCTGAAAGCATGGTTTCCTTTAAAACATCTATATATACCTGCAACTCTCCTGTATCATCACTAGATGGCAGTTATGGCTCAATCACGTTTACATTAAGTGGAAATTGAAGAACTGAGCCTGGGAAATGTGCCTGTGTGCATGTACATCCACAAAAATAAATAACATACAGATGAATAATAATAGATAAAATAACAAATGCATACTTATAGACTGGGAAAACAAACATGATGGTGGAACCATTTTTAAAATCTAGATGTCCCTGTAATTTTTTGTCTACTACTGTCAGAAATTGTTCCTTTCCTTACCTAAAAACAAACAGGATGTCATACACAGGAGTTCTTTTATCCTAACTCTTTTCTATGTATTATCACTACACCTAAATTGTCATGAAACTCTACAACCTGTGGATGGTCATCTGAATATCTGTATGCGTGCGTGTGTGTGTGTGTGTGTGTGTGTGTGTGTGTGTGTGTGTGTGTGTTTACAAATGCCTTTAGAAGCCACAGAAATGTGAAGGCAATGTAGTCCTAATACATTTTATAGTTGTCATTCTTCTGCTCAAGAGTTATTTCAAAAGCATCATCCTGAGGAGTTATTATTAACATGCACACATAGAAAAAACACTCAGTATTACACTTAGAGAAAATGCCCATAAAACAAACTTCTAGGGATCCCAAATCTCATCTCTTTCTTTTGTCACCTACCATAATATAACTGAAATTTAGGCTACATCTTAGATAGGGAAAATTGGATCCATGATATCACACATCATCTCTCATTTTCTATGACTTTTAATTTCTATAGTACAACTCTTAGGTTGTTGTTCAGTTATGTCCAACTCTTCAGGACCCCATTTGGGGTTTTCTTGGCACAGATACTGAAGGGGTTTGTCATTTCCTTCTCCAGCTGATTTTACAGATGAGGAAACAGAGGCAAAGAGGGTCAAATGATTTGCCCGGAGTCCCACAGCTAGTAAGTGACTGAGGCCGAATTTGAACTCATGAAGATGAATCCTCCTCTTTCCAAGCGCTATTTCCTCTAGCCACTGCACCACCTGGCTGCCCTTGTTCTCAGGCTGACTACTCCTCTTTTGGAGGCCTCAGTTTCCATATGAGCAAAGTGAGAAGGGCGAGCCAGATGACCTTTAAGGCTTCTTTTCTAGATCTAAATGTCTACTCCTATGATCTGGCCTAAGACTGCAAAACAATGAGAAGATTTTGCTTATAACGAATAAAATCAACATCAAGCTTGATTGCATTACTCTCCTGAGATAATTACTTCTTTGGAAATAAAGCGTCAACAATAACAACAAAAAGTGATACTCAGTCATTAGACCACATACCTGAGAGATTGATCCAGCGTCATTCCTGTAAAATCAAAAAACTTAAGGTATTCTTCAGCCACCAGCTTGCTGAATTCATTGCTAGGAGAAAATGAAAAAATAAACTTGGTTAATAAAATCGGCCTACACATCTACAGGTGCTTAAGCCAAAGGGTTTAAGAATACATACTTCTTCCCCAAATGCTTGGCCACATCTGAACGCTTGAAATGGTCTAGGTGGTAAAGACGCTTGGCCAGCCGTCTGGCTGCCTCCAAGTTACTGTTTGTTCCATTGCTGAGGTTGTCAGAGGATTCTTTTTCCAGAAATTCAGTACTCCCCATTTCACAATGGGGCTCTTGATTGGACTTTTTCAGCCCAGCATTGCTGCTAGAGAAGAAAATACATATATATTAAAATCTCATCTTTTACACCAAAATATTTGTAGGAGCACTTCTTTCCCCCCCATGGCAGTAAGTAAATGGAAACAAAAAGTCCATTAACTGGGTAATGGCTTAAGAAGTTTGTGGTACACAAATGTGATGGAATATTAATATGCTATAAGAAAAGATGAACTGATGAATACAGAAGTATGAAAAGATGTGTAAAGTAGGCAAAGCCAAGAAAACAATATATACGATGACTATACAATGAACATGGAAAGCACAAAGCCACATCCACTCTCTCCCTCTACAGAGGTGGGAGGTCCGTGAGCATGGTACATCGTACACATTTTTAGGCTTTTTCAATGTACTGATCAGTCTTGCCGCATTTGTCCTTTTTTTCCCCTTAAAAAATATTATTTGCTATGTGAAGTGACTCTCTGGTCACGGGGAAAGTTTTGGTGATATAAGTAAAAAGACATCAACAAAAAAATTATGTTTTAAAAACTTTAATTCCCGCCCTCATCAGAAAAATAAAATAACGAGTGAGATTTTCATGAATCTGCATACATGGAGACAGGTAATTTTTAATGAGCAAAGTAAGCCTATGTTTCTCTACTTATTAAAAAATAAAAATTAAAAATCTATAAACTACAAAGGCTGTAATGACTGTCTTTTTGTCGTACTTCACACAACTTAAACAGTCAAATGATCCCAATTGCCAAAGCTATGCCAATGACATGTTCAATTAAAACAGTATATCATTAGTTAGAAAGTACAACAGCTGGGTAGGTGGCCCAGCGGATAGAGAGCCAGCCCAGGAGTCAGGAAGACTCATCAAATCTGGCCTCAGACACTTAGCTAGCTCTGTGAGCCTGGGCAAGTCACTTAACCCTGTATGCCTCAATTTCCTCAACTATAAAATGAACTGGAGAAGGAAATGGCAAACCAGTATCTCTGCCAAGAAAACCCCAAACGCGTTATGAAGAGTCAGACACAACTAAAAACGCCTGAACAAACAACAATCATACATGTACCTGTTTGACTTTGGGCAATTTACAGAAACTCTCTGGGCCTCCATTTCCTCATCTACATAGGAAGAGAGCTGGGCTGGAAGATTTCTGAGATCTGCTTCAGTTTGAAATCCTATGAACTCCTATAAACATGCAATGAGCCACAGTTCCCCAGGTCTTCCAAAACTCATCAGTCCTAACTGGTACAGTTTTCTCATTTAAAAAAAAAAAAAGGCAAATCCAATCAAATAAACTACTGCATACAAATTAAGGGGGATACAGATTCTTCCTCTTACATTACAATCATCTTAAAATAAATTTAAATTTTAAGTTTTAAGTCAAAGAAAAGAGAGAATAAAGCCATAAGGTCCATAACAGGAAAAAATACACCAAAGACTGGTAGACGCTCATTCACATTCCAGGATCGTACAGTTAGAAACAGAAGGATGAGAGTGTGATAGGCAAAGGGCCAGAAGAGACCACAGGGTCTGTCTATTCTCACCCCTTCATTTTAGAGATGAAGAAACCAAGGGCCCCAAAGAGACTAAGAGATTTCACCAAGGTGGCATAGTTGCTTAAGAGACACACAGGTGAGATGTGAGGCCAAGATGGCAGACTGTAATGCCAGGGCTTACTCCCTTGAATCATGCTTTGTCCATACACTGGTATCTATATTAACTCGGCTTTGGCAGGCAGGTCAAAATCAGCAACCTCCTCTCCAAAGCGGTAAGCAACATGACATAAAGGTGACCTACAAATGCTATGACATATGCTTATGCATGAGCATTAGTAACAATATAAACTGTCCAGCCTGAAAACTGTGCAATATTATTTCTATTTTTTTTAATTTATACAATTAGCGAGCCCGGGAATTCCTAGAATTGCGTCCTCGTGTCCTCCCTTACATTTCCAGCAGTGCACAGAAGTCCCTATCGCTCAGATAAACAGCTTCTCATCCCTCCCAAGCAGAAGCATTAATGCATGCCATCCAGGTACTGACTGACTCATACTGTTCACACTTGTGAGAATGAGAGTAGGGAGCTGGGGTTAGGGTTTGCAACCTGGGACATCACTGTTGGGAGGGGCTCCCAGTGTCAACACTTCCATCAATATAGAACAGCAATTCACTTTTTTCTTGAAATGTTTCAAAATTTTATTTGAATTTTATAAGTATTTCCTTTTCCCTCTCCCCACTACTATAAAATGAACAAAAACTCTCATGACAAAAGACATGGTACAGTAAAACACATTCTTGCATTTACCATGTCCAGATATGTATGCCTCATTTTGTATTTTAAGTACAACACCTCTCCGGCAGGACATGAGCAGGGCTTTCATATGTGACCTAGGGCGCTGAAACACTAAGTGACTCGACCCCTCACAGAACAGGGTCATCAGAGTCAGGATAAGAACCCAGGTATCCAGACTTCAAGGCCATTTCTCTATCTGCTAGGCCACCCAAGCTCCCAATGTTCCCCTAAGCCCAATTAAATATCCTTAGGTACAGCTTACACACAATTTTACTATCTTTTAAATATCATCTACCCTCATCAAAAGCACTAAAACCAATTTCTTTATCCTACACTTAATTCTCTCACATGTCAAAACTCTCTTGACTCTTTCCGATCCAAATTCACCTAACTCACTTCACCCAATTCTCCTCATAATCTCCAGCATTACATCAGCCTCCATGAATTCAGTCTCTAGGTCTTCTTAAAGCAAAGCTTCATTAAAGGGAAAAAAAGGGAAAGGTACAGTCTCCCTTCCAGGCTTCCACCTCCTTCAATTTCAGGGTCCGAGGTCTGATTCAGAAGGGTCCCTGAGGAATCATAGCGGTTGTTTTTCTACCTTTAACTGTTAAGCCTCTGGAAGCATCAACTCACCAGCACCAGCACCAATGTCCAAAAAAACACATTCCAATGACTAGCATGTACTCCAGCCATACTTCTGTGAAGTCAACCTTCTGAAGGTACTGGCCGCACATACTCCAAGTGTCTGCTGAACTCCACAGGCATCCAGGTATCTAGTTCCCTGTGAGGTCACATTACTATGACCTCACATTCTCTGTGGATTGTTTATTGTTGGATTTATCGTGTTTTCATGCCCACAATAAAAACAAAAGCTAGAACACAGGGGCCCCTGTACATCAGTAGACCCATAGACAATAGGGACCGGGCCAGGCAAACACTGGAGAAGTCAGGCTGAATGATCCCTATCACCAAGAATACACTCCCTCCTCCTGTTTCCTCCAATACTCACAACATTGTCTAGCTTAGAGAGCTAGATGCTTTTCATTCTTTACTTTATGATTTAGATTTTTTCCCCTCTTTTTCTCTTTATTTTTCATTCCTTCCAATATTTCTTTTTTTTTTCCAGTCACATAATGCTCAACCCCTATCAATCACTGGAACAGTGAGGGGGAATAAAAAAAAAATTAAAAATAAAAAAAGCTTTAGAAGATTAGAATCTTTCTTTCTTATGCAAAGTAAACCATCATTGGAAAAAACAGATATTGTACTGCTTCCACTACCCCTCCCCCACCTTTACTGTGACCTTCTGAAATCATGGAATAACTTAGAACACACCTGGCTTTACTGAAATATTTTTTTGAACCTACATAGCTTCAACTATGTAAAGAATGACCATAATAAACAGTGCCTCCTCAACAACTGAACACTCTACCAGAGAGAAAAAGGATGAGCCGAACAGATACCTTCATCTGAGCCAAGGACCTCAGCGCTTACAATTTTTCTGAAATGTCTTATTCATTGACTCAACAACTGTCTTTTTTTTTTCTTTTTGGCTAGGCAATGGGGTTGAGTGACTTGTCCAGGGTCACACAGCTAGTAAGCATTATGTGTCTGAGGCCAGATTTGAACTCTGGTCCTCTTGACTCCAGGGCCAGTGCTCTATCTTCTGCACCATCTAGCCGCTCCTCAACAACTATCTTTAAAAAAAAAGATATACTAAGTGAAAAATGAGACATCCAATGATCTTTAAGGACACAGTTCCTGCCCTCAAGGAGCAAACAATCTAGCCAATGGCTATAACCCACAAGAGCATGCAATAATGATGTAATAAATATAGAATATGGACTGTCCCTAACACAGAATACTAAGTAATAAAATTATAAGGAATATACAAAGTACCATGCAAAAGTACAAGGAAAGAAAACTTGGGGATCGGGGAGAAGAAGAGGTTGTAGGAGACGTGGAATTTAAGCTGGGCCCAGAATTTCAACATGATGGCAAGGAGGAATAAGGGAGAAAATAAGACAGGGCAAAGACAAAGAAATGCAAATGTTAGACAGGTATGAGGGCCAATTCAGTTACACTGAAGTCAAACCGAATGCAACAGTGTGAGATAAACCTGGAAAGGTAGCCAGTTACATTATGGAAGGGCCTGAATGACAGTTTAAAAAGTTTAAACTTTATTTGCTAGGCAATAAAGAATCCTAAATTGTCCTTCAATTCAATGTGATTCAACAATCATTCATGAAATGCCAACAAAGGGTCCCTCGACTAGCTCCTATAATGGTCTGTTTTCACTACTGATCAAGTTACCAATACTTTTCCCCTTACAGTCTAATCTAAACTCTTGTTTATACTTGACTCATTGCTTCTTTTCAATGGTTTCTACAACACAGACCAAAAGCCTTCCTTAGTTAATTTCCTAGGATGCTAAGCCTGGATTTACTATGTCAACACCTCCTGCCCCAAGGGCCTCACTTCCCATACCAAAAAAAAAAAATTTTATTTAAATCTTATCCATAAATCACATTCTCCTCTATTTATAATTTCTATTTCTATTTTCTGTTGGGGGGGTTTTCCCCCGTGTGTTTCTCAACAAATTCTCTCCAATTGTTATGGACTGAAATGGTACTAGTTTTCTAGTTATTACAACAAGAAGGGGACAGAAAATGGAGCATTATTTATTATTTCATACTTTCTTTGAACCATAAATCTTCACTCTGCTGATCCTTCAATAAAACAGA